AAATGATAGGCGATTACTGATTTTTTTAAAAATATCTGACAGTCAATACTAGCACTCAGAGAACATGAATTTATGATCACATGTGCTAGTTCTGACAGAAAAAAAGACACAATCAGACCAAAGAACAGCTGCTGCTAGAACCACAGTCTCAGTGTACCAATTGTTTGAGATAACCCAGAGCATGAGAGTACTTCAAAAAAGAAAGTGTTCCTCCTACTGCTTCAACCAAAACTGCTCACAGCACCCTCTGATGTGGACATAATCTGACACAAAGGTACTAAACATCCATTTTGTTCTTTCTGTGGGAACAGCTCAGCTATTAAGCACATCTATCCAGTACAAATGCTTCTATAACATAAATTTCAAAGGAATTGTAAAATCCAAACAATGTAAGTTTTTTTATGTAGACAGAACTTACAAAGCTGAGCAAAAATACTGGCTAGAGAAAGGAAAGAAAATACCAATTAATGGCGCTGATGAAGAAAAACCCCACAGCAAGCTTCCAGTTTTAGCACTGCTGACCCAAGTATATACTACTGGAGTATTTTTCATTAGTTGTCCACCTTCTCTGAAAACTAGAGTTAAAAATATAACAGAAAAAATACTTAAAATTACTGAAATGTGAAGCACAAAAAGTTATTTAAAAATCAGGTGACAAAAAAGCTTGACATATGGAATCTGCAGTGAAACACAAAAATTATTTCCCAAAGCAGATTTTTAATTTTTCAAGTGTTCAGAGCATCTGCCTTTGTCATGGGTTACTCCTATCAGGAAGATCACAGGGATATAGAAAAAAAACCCTGGTGCTCACATTGAGTATAAGAAAAGTTAATTTTTTAAATACATACTTCATATGTCCAATCAGCTCATTGAACAGAAATACTAAGGGCACATGCATATGTTTATCTACGTTTTGGTCAGGAAATATAACAAGGTATTACCCCACAAAATTAGGGTAAGAAAACAACCAGAGTCCATGTGGCATCACCTAGTCACCTCAATTTTGCAGAAATGCTCATAAGTGAGAAATAAGGGCTCTTTGGGAGTTAGAGCCACATCTTGAACAAAAATTTCAGAAGGAAAAAAGCACCTAATCTAGATACAGTGTACAGCTTCAGAGCCAAACAGCTCAATTTGCAATCTCAAGGCCAGTAGGCAATAATTTCTGCTTCTGAAACCAAACACAGCACTTCTCAGTTCCATTATAGACACTGTTTTCTTTGGACCCCAGGAAAGATGCTTGGTTACTATAGCAACAGATACAGAAGAAAGCTTTTCATTTGTAAATGGCCATTCCTTTAAAATCATATATGCTATTTTCCCCATACCTTTTAATATGCATCAAATAGAGAGTAGAATTATGAAAGCTAACAGAGCACATAAGAGCACTTAAAATATACATGTTGATTTGGTAATTTTACTGGTAACACTTTTCACCCAACCAAGTATTTTAGAAATATTTACAAAATAACACTCAAGTCTTACAAAATAACGAATACGGAAATCATTCAACTGATACACCCCAAACTGTCAATAGTACAGCAATTATTCACCCCTTACTGTTTTAGTATAACTGTACAATGAAGGTTTATGTTCTGGTAGGGTACGAGGAACACATAACAGAGTACAATTTAATTCACACAAGTCTGCTGCCTTGATAATGAAATCAACATACTAAATCAGAATAAGCTTAAATGAGACAATTTTTACTAATTGTTGACAACAAAGGTCTCATAATGGGCAATACATGTACCTTGCAACAGGGCTGTATTAAAAGCAAACCCACACAACCTTTCCTCAAGATGTAATTTGCTCATAGGGAACTAAAACCGAGGAAGAATATATTACAATTTCATTAAAACAGACTGCTTGAGATCCTACTGAGATAGTTCTAAGCCAGCACTTTCACAATCCAAGTATTCTGCACTATTTTATCTGTCTACTACAAACAAATGTTAGGCCTAACACCAGATATGTGCAACTTGCAGCACAATCTTGTTCTGATGAGAGTTCACTTCTGGCTCACTTCCAGCAGAAAGTAACTATGTCTCTACAGTAATAAAAATTACCTCTGTGTAAGAAGATCTCTAGTAACTCCATTCACACCAGGCTCACAAACAGAATCACAAGAAACCCCAAGCCAGGTACGGAAACTGTGGATCTATCACTGCTGCAATGTGCAAGACCTTTCTCCCAGCTTCTTGATTTCTCACACCAACTTGTCAAGGCCACTCTCTAATGTGCTGCATTTACCATGGAAGCCCCACCAGCAGCTTTATTCCCTTATTCTTTTATACAGCCTTACACAAAGGTAACAAGTTAGAGGATAACCTATGGAAGGCTAAAGCTATCAAGAACAGATAAGCAAAGCCTGCAGCTGAATAGAAGTGTCCTGCTGTTCCAATTACAAATTAAAACAAATTGCACACTTCTTTTCTGGGAAAATTAAACTCTTAATAAGATTATCTGTGATGAAAAAAACAACAACTGACAAACAAGAAAACTCTCTGACTCTCAGTGCAACATAAATGATTCTTCCCCCTAGTCTGTAAGTCTACAGTTTCTGGATTCTCAAGATTTTACTTCATTTTATCACTGCTCATACTTTCCACCACAGAACCTGGATATCATTATGTATTTAGGACTAAGGGCCGCCGTCTGTTTTATTCCATAATCTCTTTGCTTTCCCTTACTGAGTGTTTTTCAAACAAAACTCATTAAACAAAGTACTCCTTTATTCTCGGGTAGATGGAACTAAGAGAGGGAACAAACAGCAGTAATGCACTTGCTGTGGAGAACAGAAAAAAAAACAACATTCCAAGAAATTTTGTTAATACATGCCAATGCAGTTTTATATGAGAAGGGATAGTTGCATTCAAGAGAAACTGCATTTACCAGGACACCTACAGCGAAGAAAACATCTCAGACCTCACAAAAAGCAGTAAGTCCTACACAAACAGAAATTAAGCATAACTGTATTTTTAATTACAACTGTAGTGCTTATACTTGAATTTATCATGCCTTTAAATTGGTTCACCCCACTAAATGTAATGTATGGCTACCATTTGAAGTGTTTTTAGTTTATGCTTGCATGTTTTTATATACTGATGTTTTAAAAAGGAAGCAATGAAAAAGGCTGATTCAGAGTACTAATTAGCTTTTTCAGAATATGAATGAGAATACAAATCAGTTTTTGAATGAGTTTTGAGCTAACCCAGACCTGTCAGTTCCTTCTGTAAAAGGAAGTTAAGCCATCTTTGCCATGGGCCTGTACAGCAAATTATATGTATTTTCCAGAACATCTCCTCCCAGCCTGAACAAACTGAAGGGATTTGGAAATAGGCAGATCTTTGAAATAAGGTTTTAACAATTACTAGCTGCTAATATTTTCACCTTAACTTTAAGCATTTTTAATATATATATATATATATATATATATATATGCTGGACAGATTTAGCAAATCCTTGAACTATTACCTGAAATAAATACAATATGAAAAGATTAGAGTATAAGTATAAAAATTATATAGAGAGAATATAGAGATTTATACTATACATTATAATAGAGGATAACAGCATTATACTTATAAAGGATAAATACATAAATTAGTTCAGAAATGCCACTAAAGACAGAATACATATTGATCAAAACCTTGTTGTGTTATGCATAATGAACTGAAACAAGAGTACAATGCTACAGATATTTTGTATTCCCCTTATTTTAATTTTATTCCTTATTATTATGGCTTTTGAAAAAAGTTCTAATGCTGAAGAACAATTTTAATATCATTGCACATGTTTAGATAAAAAGTCTGAATCATGCTTTCTAAGACAGAAGCCTGTCCTTTGTCTACCACTGATAAAAGATGAAACCTGCCAATTATCCAGCCCTAGGCAAAAGGCAAAGCAGGGTACCACTTTCTAATCCTCCTCTCAGAGGTTTCAATCCACTGTTCTGCATCTGCAATCCCAACAGTCCAGCTGAGGTGCCAGCAACAGTTCTGTCTTCCCAGCTGCACAGTCATCACACTGCCCAAAATGTTTTCATCTGTCAAATAAAAGTGGACTCTTTATAAAAGAATAGCAAGGAGCTTTTTAAATAATTTTTTTTAAACTGCCACTTCTGGCAGTTTTGCCAAATGGCAAATTTGCAAATTATTTCAGACAGGTGACTGATTCAAAGAAGGCATCTCCACAAATGAGCTGTTTCATACCAGTATTAAAAACATTTTAGAAGCAGAAGATCATCATATTCACTCTTATGACTTCCTAAATACTGCTGCTCTAAGTCAAGGAACGGAAATAACTGAAAATAAAAAAACGGTAAGTTTAAAATGAAATAAAATATAATATTGATTTAGAAAAGTCACGTGACTAATTGTGAAAATGCAAAAACTAAATTCCATTTAATTCTCCTCCAAAGCTAAGATATTTTGTAATACTTATTAAAAACATGAACAGATAATATTTAAAAAACAGACATAAGGAGTTACGTTTAATCATAATTTAAATAAGAGATAGTACAACAGTGCCCATTGTTATAAAAAAGTCAACAGGAACTGACTACAGCTACCAACACAAACAAGGCACCTGAAGAGTACAATATATTTTCTACCAGGATGTTTTCCTACCAGAATGACTTGTAATCTGCAAGTTTCTAGTGTTTCATTTACAATGTATATTTGTCTAGTAAGCCTGAAATTTGTACGCTATTACCAAAACCAACTGCAGTAAAATAAGTTTTGCTTGATGGCTTGCAATCATGTATGAAAGGGCAGCAGCTCCTTTTTACAAGCAATTCTAAAGCGCAGTCCATTTGCCATCATCCCTGTTCAAGTACCTTGTGTACAGCAACTCAGCTGCTGCAGGGTCATATTCAGATATTCATTCAGATAGCTCTAATTTTAAATGCAAGCTTTTTTTGTTTGCTGATTTCTTTTCCTTTCCCCCTTGAAATTCTCCTCCCCCCCTTTCCTCCCTGTTGCACAGACGGCCACAGCTTGGCTACGAAGCTCCCAGTTACTCAATTCCACGAGAGAAAAGGCAGACAAAAGGTGACAGAAGATAACCATCATGGCATCAGCAAGCCTGCAGTTCTTTGCTTTTATTCTGGCTTTGTTTGGTGCTTTTGGAGATATCGCAGCCACCTTGCTACCAAACTGGAAGGTAAATGCAGACGTTGGTTCAAATATCATAACAGCTATAACACAGATGCAAGGACTTTGGATGGACTGCACATGGTACAGCACGGGGATGTTCAGCTGCACCCTGAAATACTCCATTCTCTCTCTCCCCGTCTACATCCAGGCTGCACGGACCACCATGGTGCTGTCGTGTATCCTATCAGCCTTTGGGATCTGCATCACTACAGTCGGAATGAAATGCACAAGGCTAGGAGGCGACACTGACAGCAAAAATAACGCTTGTTTTGCTGGAGGAATCTGCTTCATTCTTGCAGGAATCTTTGGATTAGTACCAACGTGCTGGTACACGAGAGAAATTATTTCAAATTTTCTGGACCAGACCATTCCAGAGAGTAGTAAACATGAACCAGGAGGCGCAGTTTATACTGGATTCATCTCAGCAGGATTTCTGCTTATCGCAGGTGTGATCTTCTGTTCTTCCTGTTTTAAAAGGCAGCAAGGAGCATGGATTTACCCTCCAAAGCAGCACCATTTTCCATCCACAGAGCAGGAGAGCAATGCAGGTTACAGCCTGAAGGACTATGTATAAATAGTTATTTCTATCCATTGAAGTATTTCTATTCATTCAAGGGGGTTTTTTGTGTGTTAAGTTAGTTTGGTTATTTCAATGAATGTATAACATAGCACTTAATCTTTCCTGTATCTGGGTTGCAGTTATGCTTATGCAAGGTATTTCATTTACAGGGGCATCCACAAAAAGGAAGGAGTAGGAAGAGATACTTGTCTGCTACAAGAGTACTTTATTTTGCTGATTTTTCAAACCCTTCGTTCTGACTTCCCAAGTTACAGTTATTGAAGAACAAGGAACTATTTTAAAAACATAACTGACTGTACAATTTATGCATCGATGTCTTGTTACAGTAGAGACGATTAAAAACTAACTGCTTTCTGTTTAGTGAATCAGACTTTCAATAACATATGACATTTTACAGTGTATTTCACATTTTTATCTTGATTTTATTTATGATGCAAGAAAAAAAACCCCAGAAACTATTTGTCCAAGAAGCCCACTTCAAAGGTTTTAAAAAAGCGGACACATCTGCCTTTCATTTTCAATTCTAAATTGCTGTGGTAACTAGATTTTGTTAAAAAAAAATAAAAAATACAAAAAAAAAAATCAACCAACCAAAACAAATCCACAACAAAAGCTCAAGGCTCCAAACCTTAGCTGCACTGTATACTCTGCGTATCAGGCTGAAGGATCAGCAGTACCATTCAGCTCTTGCCAAACCCAGCTCTCCTGCCCCAAACTGCCACCTGCTGTGGGTTTCATTTATTATTGTTAAAGAAAAGTAGGCTGGACAGTCACCAACTGCTACTAACACAGTGAATGTCAGAGATGAGGAGCAATACAACAAGAGAAATGTAACCATAATTGTCAAAACACCTGCAAACTGTAACACGATAGAAACCAAATTATCTATGTTCAAGAATCTGTAAACATTCTGGCTTACACTTGTTAAAGGCAGTTATTAACAGCTCAAATAACACAGTAACTACTTACTGCCTTCTACATTTCTGACCTTCTGAAAGAACCTTTTAAGTTATTTTAATTATTCCTGTAGGATCTGCTCCAGGCCCACTCCCAGGTATTCTATTACTGTAAAATGTACTATACAACAGTGAAAAAGAAACAGCTTCTTTATTTTAACTGCCTTATTTTGAATAATTACCTTAAATCCTTTCACCTTTTCTTTCACCACACAGATTTTGTTTTGGTTATTGGCAAAGTATGTTCTACTTAAATACTTGCCTAAGTGAGAACAAATCAAGCATGAAAATGGGTATGGCACAGACCTTTAAATTTAGGAATATGATGCTGGATGAGACTCTCAATAAAATCAACTGCTATTTATTCTGCATATTTATACACAACTTTCATTTTCCACAGTACTAGTCTGAAATTTGCTAAAAGACCATGAAGGAGCCAAAACATAAAATGTTTGTTTGGTATGTTGGAAAAATATGTTTCATTACAGCATTTGGTAAAGTGGACTGTTTTATGGACTTAATATGTAGGTAGTCTTTATTCATAGAGTGTCTTCATTTTTCATGTGCAGAATGGCATTACATCTTGTTTTTATTCTACTGTTACATACCTATTTTGAGTTTTCTATGTTTTAATCAAGGAGCTTGACTTTTCCCATTTCTAATGCAACTATCAGCAGTTATTAGGTATTGCAGAGACTTCATTATAACCAAAAAGCCAATTTCTTTTTTTCCTAGACACTATGTTGCGCAGCACCATTCCATTAACCAAGAATCTTTTATGTCTCAACACTCACAGAAATGCTGAAATAATATTCATGCATTGAGCAAATGAGGTAAACAACCCCTTCTCACAAACAAGCATCTCACCTTCAGAAAGGGGTTTGACATGACACTAAGCTGTGATCATTACCATGTACGTGAGTAAAATCTTTTTGCAAAAAGTTATAATCAAGAGGCATTTTTACAGGAGGGTGTAAGAAAAAGGTAATAAATAGCATACCATGAGCACAACAAGAAGTTCATTGGTTACACATACTGCAAACTTTTCTTCCTGAAACTTTATATAAAAAGTAGCTGTACTTCATATAGCTGTGAAACAAAAATCAAGGATGGAGCCATCTAATTCACAGTATGCTGCAAGAGCTTTCCAATAAAATAAATTCTATGAGAAAATGTAACATCTAAAACCAAGTCAGTCTACAGCTAAAAGAACAAGGACAAAACACAAGATTGGTCTACAACAGGTGTGTGAAGGAAACAAAATAATAGTGAAAACAGGTGCCAGTCCTGTCTTAAAGAATTCTACTTTCTGTTTTTGCAATATAAGAAATACTTGTTTCAACTCAAAAAATACATCAAATAAAAGTATGCCTGCCTTTATGTACTGCTTTTTTTATTCAACAGAGCACCAACTGACTATAGGATGTGTTTATATCAAGATATTTGTACTCTGTGTGTTACTTCTCTTGGTCAACTACGGCCTTTTCAGTACAGGAAAATGGAAATATCAGTTAGAGCTTCCCAATTCTGGGACACAGTCTGCACAAGACTTTTAACAGCATTAGCTTTATTAGCACTCAAGTTGTACCCACCACTGAGAAATCCTCACCATAAAACTGGAATTTTAGCCTTACTTAAAACTATTTCATATATTTGACAGTGAGAGGGCATCCTGAAATTATTTTCCATCCAGCTAGGAAACAGGGAAAAAAAACCTAAGCCAAAACCTCAAAGCAAAAAATAAGATTTCTTAAGCATGGTCATTTTCTTTCACAACAGATTGCTGTAATTTAACATGTTTGAACAATTACTTTCTCAAAAAACTTGCTCAAAAAATACTTGCTCATTAAATTATCATCAAAATATATCCAGATAGAGACCTTAAAATTCACTGTGATAAAGAAGAAAATAACCTCCCACAGGGTCTCAAGAGATATGCCAGAAAAGTAAAAAGGACCAATAGAGAGAGAGACTGATAAAGGAGAAGGGAGATGTACTGAAGAGCTGAACCAACCAATTAAAGAGGAACTTTCAGAAGCCGCAAGTTCACTTCTGAAACAGACAGACAACTTGATAGAACAAATAGTAATGGTTTTAAACTCCCAAAGGACTGATTTAAATTAGATAAAAGGAAAAAGGTTTTTACAATGAGGCTGGTATAGCACAGGCATATTGCCCAGAGAGATGGTGGATGCACCATACCTGGAAACAGTCAAGATCACATTGGACAGAGCTCTGAGCAACCTCATGTAGTTGAAGATGTTCCTGCTCATTGCATGGGAACGGTACTAAATGACCTTCCTTCCAACCAAATATTTCTATAAGCCTAGGATTTCCACACACATTCAGGGACACAGACATGACTTAAAGTCAGGCACAAATTTTTACAAAAAAATCCAACCCAAAACAAAACAAGCTTCTTGTCTAAAATACTAAATTATTTTTTAATTTTTGATTCCTGTACTCATAATGGCTATTAATAAAAACCAGGGGCAGTAGATAAGAGGACAACAAAGTGATTGTTCTCTACTCACTCAAGAACATATAAGAGAGAGAAAAGATTGTTACTTTTTTAAACAACTAGTGGGATTCAGCTGACAAAGTGCTGTAGCAAATAGGAGGGAGTAAAATATGCTAAAGATGACTGGGGTGAAACATAAAGATTATAGAAAGGGTAAAATTAGAGATGTTTGACAAAGGTGAAAAATGAAAAGCTTTTCTTACCACAGTCTTTCAAAAGACCCATCAAATCCTTAAGGCACAATTCCCAAACTGTTTATAAATGACAACTGTAAAATAGCAGGCTTTTGAAAAATACTCCAATCCTAGCAGACTATCCTGACTCTAAATCCAATCTCCCTCTCCAGAACACCCAAAGAAGTATGCTGACCTCGCAGATAGGTTTGAAGGTGAAAGCCAAGTTCTGAGGAACAGAAGAAAAAAAAAAAAAAGGAAAAAGCACTTTCTCAGAATAAGCATGCTTCATTTACAGGAATTTTACATCCCTCCACTTCGTAATATGGAGATGTTCAAACAGAGCAGCCACCAATGTTCCTTAGTGAAAATAAGATACATTGCTTGAGTGACATATTAACAAAAACTACAAAAAACCACAGGAAAACCTACCTCTGGCTTTGGAACAAAGGCTTGACCTGGAATTATGAAACAGTTTTCCACAGTGCAGAGATGCTGAGCCATGATGGACAGTCTGCTGCGTTGGTTACTTCCTGGATTAGCTGTAAGTCTCTATGGGAAAATCAAAACATGTACATCAGTGATACTGAACTGACCAAGTGACCAGTTGTATTAAAGCTTGATTTTCTGTATAATCAAATTGAAGAAAAAGACACCAGTTAATCATTAAAAACTTGTACCAAATTGTATGCCCAGTTAATCTAAAATTTTCTTCTCCAATATAGCAGCATTTCACTAAGATACCACGCTGATTTACAACCTCAGTCCTGCAATTAAATGCACATGAAAAGGAACTCCTAGAAATTCTGCAGATCTAAATGAATGTCAAAAGAATTTTCTATGGATACAAGAGAAAACTAAAACTATTCTGACTGCAGGATTCAAAACAAACCTAACAGCAGCTGACAGCACTCTCACAATCCTTTCCTTCCACTGTTTCTGTATAAAACATTACTACTTCTTTTTCTTCTTCAAGACGAAACAAAGCTTCATAAACTCAAGATAAGCTAGAAATCAAAAGTTCTTCATAATTAACTGGTCTACGCTTACAATATCTGCAAGGAAGCTGGGTCTACTTTACATAAATTTAGAATGCCTAACAGTGAGAGCATTTAATACTTAAAACTCAATTTAAGTATTCTCTGATTTTCCCATGAATTTTTTTTTCAAAATAGTAACCTGGACAGAGATTTCCTAAACTTTTGTGACCTGGCAAGAAATGTATTTTATTGTTTTGCTAGCACAAACAAAATTTAAGCATATAAAGCATCTTGTAAAACAAGACTCAAATTACAGAAGTCATTTCACCAACACATGCAAAAATAGAATAAAGATGATTCATGT